TGGTTATCTTCAAGAAAGAATATTTTCTTGATAAGTCTTAAAATATACTCATCAAACAGTTCATTATATATTGTGTATACCTTAAAGAAGAATTTGTTCTCTTCACAAGAATGTTATAAGATTTTATCGAGAAGAGAAAGTTCGTTCGACTCTTCACATAATAAGTAAACCGAATTTTAGCTTTAATTAGATATTTAATTAATATTCCCCGAATCCTAATAAGCTTAGCAATTTAATGAAGATCATTACATTAAAATAGAAATTTGATTTACCTATATACTGCATAGAGTCGAATCAACTGATTAAAATGCTAAACTTAATAGAATTCAGAATATATTTCGAATAAATATGATGCTTGTGATGAACTTGTTATAAATTTACGAATATATAGGGTGTCTGTTGCAAAACGCGACAATGCTTGTGTGTGCAAGTATAGATTAAAATCAAAGTGAACAAAAAATTCCTCTACCATCTTACAAACAACCACGCAAGTACTTGAATTATTATTTAAAGAAACTTGAATCGATTAATCTTCTTTAATTAATAATTCAGAAGTGTATATAGTTATTTGCAAAATAGTAGAGGACATTCAGTTCGACCTGATCTTTGACCTGCAAACGAGCATTGTCGTGTCGTGCGTCAGGCGCTTTGTTTAAATTTATAAAACATTTAAAACAAATAACAAACGTAGAGGAGACGTGCACTCAAATTCTGTCAGCTGTGTTAAGTCTATATTTTGATACTATTTTTGACTTCTTATACCTAATTTAACTTTGATAATCCGAAGCCTATATCTATCTCTTTTGATTTTATTTAACCTGTTAGCTTTGCTAAGATACTCTCTTCGGAATCTACGAGTGGCATTTTGTGCGTTTTCTGCTATTTAGAGGCGCTAAAAGTAGGACTTCAGTTTCCACGTGTATGAAACACACACTGATCCTTTAGAATATGCAGATGTTAGAAAGTCAAGTTCTCGACAGTAGGGCTAATATTTCAACTCGGGTATTTCAACTGCGAGAAGCACGGCTTCAGTGCGGAAGACCATTTCCCTCGGACGGGTGTCCGTTGGCTAAAGTTTCGAGTGTAGATCGCGCGAATTCTCGACGGCTGCCAGACTATACTAAGGAAGAAGGCAACGAGGTCGCGACGATAACTATCGCGCACGGGGACGAAGTTCGCGGGTGAACTTCCGGCAGTCGGATCTTCCGGGTGAGCGGTAAACGCCCGTAGTCGTACCCGGTAATCGATCGATCGTTCACTACGATGGGGGGAGGGCAAGGGGGACGGCGGCCACAGGTAAAACGAGTTTCGGCGCGATACGGTAAACGGGGAGCGGCGTGCGGGTGCCTACCTGGCGCGCTTATTCGCTCGTGCGGATGGCCGTGTAACCCTATAGGAAACCTTCCGCGAGTTTCACTTTGCCGTTACCCCGGACCGCTCGGATAGTTCGCCTCGTCACGGATACGGACGTGTGTAGCGCGGGACCCACGCTGAGACAGTGGTGGACGGTTTTACCTGCGATGGGCCGTACACACGCGATGGATGCACCTGTCGGGCGAGTGTGATGCACTTTTAGCGCTCTATAATGCGAAAGCGCGCGACTCCATGACCTTATTCTTTCTCGCATGGCGAAGTGTCACGCTCATCTCTAGGCGAGCTACGAGAATGGCGACCAACCAAACGACCGACCGGCCGGCCGGCCGGCCGGCCGACCGGTTGTCGGGGAGAAAATCCTCTTTTTCCGCGCGCGCTGCTCCAGTTCTGACTTTCAGTCCGCTCGCGTACTGCTTGCGCGCTCTGAAGCCGCGCTGCATAATTGAGACACAGCGGCTGGGAAAAGGGCACGGAAGCGGCAGGGATCCCCCCTCGATGTGCGAAGCGAAATAAAAGTTTCAAGTGCGTTTTTCTCAGGGCGAGCTCACGCTTCGTTCGTTCGTCTGGCCCGCGCGCGACTCGCTTATCTTCCGCTTGAGTTCCCCGTCTCTGAAAGGGTAACGATGTCGCTCCGCGATGGCGCGTGATTTATTGATAATAGATTCGCGCACGAAACGTATAAATCTGTCCCTTTTTATACAGAGGCGAACAACGGCGATATTAGAGACAGAGAGGGAACACAAAACTGAACATCCCGGGACATTTGAATATCTCACGGGTGTCCAAGAATATCCGCCGGATACCTGCGCGCGCCGTGCGAGCGACGATTCTCCGAAGCAGCCGTTGTAATTTACATGGTCGCAAATCGCTTTCGCAATTTCGCTCGGACGTGTCCGGTCGTTTTTTATCACAGGCGTCGATCTGCAAGAGGGAGAGGGAGCGAAAGAGATAAAGAGAAAGAGAAAGAGAGGATTCGCGAACCGAGATCGCAATCTCGGCCATTCGTTTCGTTAAGGCCAACGCCGCGCCGTGTCCGAGAGTCCTTTCCTCGTCCATCGACACCGTGTCATCCGATAGCCGTAGGATATACGTGCCTAGTCGAGATGTATCGATTGCTCGCGCGTCTCGCTTTTGTACGAGTTCGCAGGCGAGACGAGGTGCGGTCGTCGCGACTTAAGACAGAGAGAGAGAAAGAGAGAAAAAGAGAGAAAGAGAGGGAGGGAGGGAGGGAGGGAGGGAGAAAGAAAGAAAGATTCGAACACGGGGATGCACTTGGATGCGTCGGCACGAAGGGCTGCTGGAAGATAGAGGGAGGGTAACGCGGCCGGAATTAATGCGGAGTGAGTAAGCGGGCTGGTAGTCGCGCGAGGGAAAAGGGATTTATGCACCGCCAGCGTTGATAAAATATATCCCGCGGCGTCGGAGATATATATACCTCTTCCAGTGTTCGTTTTGGATTTCGTGCGCGTGTGCGAACTCGCATGTGCGCCGTTGCGAATTTTCCTACGCGAGCGGCTGTGCTGCGCCGCCTGCCTCTGGAGCCGCGTCTCGCGTCCTCACGCGCGGACATAGACCTCGGGTGCGCGCGCGCGCGCGCACACACAGGATCGATAATTAACAGAATTAATAATTATTCTTATCGGGCCCGATAATCGTGACAATGAATAACCGGGCGTAAACGAGGATCAGTATCCCATTATTATCAGACGCCGCGTGTATTTTTGTCACGATCGAGATGCAAGATGGCGCGACGCGATTTTCTCTGGCGAGTTTATAATAAATTATAAAAAGGCAGCGCGCGCGGAATCATCTCGTAGAAAGCAATTAACGTTTTATATACATACATATATACAAACATACATACATATATACATACATATGTATATATAACGCAATCGGCAAAGAAACGTCCCGCGCCGGTATCCGAGATGAGAAAGAGATCGCGCAGGTGGGGAAACGGATGGAGAAGGAGGCGAGAGGAAGAGAAAGAGCGAGAGAGTGAGACGGAGCGCGCGCACTTAGGGCCTTTCGTCACGCGGGGACGAGACGAGGCGAGAGAGCCGCGCGGTCAATGGCTGCGGTATCCGCAGGTTCAAGGAAACCGGGCTGGTCCGATTCGACATCGTGTCGTTCCCGGGGAAACCGAACAGGTGACGCGCTTGTGAAAATGCAGGTTAATGGAATGCCGTCTAAGTAGCTTCTCCGCGAGCGCGCGTGCGCTCGCGCTGTTGGGACTGCATACGATTACCGGCTGGATTCTCAAGGGAGACTTCCACGCTTCGGCGATCCGCGACGGAGAGTCGTGTCGTTCCTCTCTCTATCGAGGATGTTATATTCGACGCGCGTAGAATTTCTCGTCGACTTGTCCACACACGCCTTTTACACGCGCGCGCGATTTATTCTACTACGATTTGTCGCGTGTAATTATTGCGCACGCCAAGCAAACATCCGGCCCGGTTTGACGGTTATACTCGCACCCGCAGTGTACTCGTACAAATTGGGTTCTCACCCTAGCGGGAATTAATTCTCAAGAAATATTGGAATTGTTCTTTGTCATTGCGTGTCTTCGAGAAAGATGTCTGTTAGAGGAAGACGTCCATAGTAGCCGTTACAGCACTCCACCACAGGCACTCGTTACAGCACTACCAGTTTTCAATATCCTTGTTCGAGTTCTTCATCCAATATTCGGGAATTTATAATTTACCAATTATTTATCGATTTATTATTTACTTATTCGTCCAAACCTAACTCTAATCTTAATACCCGATCGCGCAAGAGTGCCGAAAATAGATAGTATACCGACTATTGGACGTTTTTTCCTATTAGAAAGTTTGCAGATACGAATTCAGATTCTTCTGTTATGTTTTTAGAATTTACTAATATATTGGAGAGTGCACACAAGACCAGAATACGAATTGAAGTTTTACGTAAAAGAATGGTGTCAAAAAAGAAAAGACTAAATCTCTGGTCTGTATTCATTTCGGCAACGTCGATACAAGATACGGTAATTACAGCGATTACTGATTACGAATTCGAGCGGTTTTGAATGCCGATTGTTCCTAGCGCGAATCTAACGAGCCGATAAATCTCATTGTTGTCGGCTCTTTCGTAAACATGCGATTCTTTTCATAACCTCACTGCAGGACCTATCGATCATTCCGGACGAGGCAGTGATTTTCTCATTGGTCAACTCGGCAAGCGAAGACTCGCCGGCTGATATGGAAGTTCCACGCGAACCGTTCTAGTATACGAAAATCCAACGTAGAACTTGCAGAAATCGCACGATCTTTCGAGCCGCTGCAACGCGATCCAATAATCGTCAGTGTATTGCCTCATCCGTTCAATATCTCGATAGTTCGAGCGATATCAGTACATTTCCGTTGACGGAAATTCGGCGTGCCTTCACGCGTGCCTGTTTCGACGATTGCACGAAGCGGCTCTCCGCTTCACGCGCCTCTATTAGCCCGCTGCATAGCAACGAACTCATCGATCGGCTGTACGGCTTTTCGAAAGCCGCGAGGGACCACGAGAAACCCCAATCGGACATGGGGAAGCGTCGCCGGCCGCATCGCGTCGCGTCGTGTCGCGCGTCGTGAGTATCGATTTAAAACGCTCTTTTCTCATACCGGTGTATGAAGGCCGCAGTTGACATGTTACTATCCATGGGGTGGTTCCATAAATCCCGGCTCGGCCCCGCCAACGCGACCCTCTCGACACTGTCGTGCGCGCTTCCAGCTTCTCCCCGTCACCTCTCTGCGTGTATACCGCGCACGACACCGCGACGACGACCTCCAGGGAATCCGCACGACGACGTGGACGACCGAACGCGGCTGGCAACAACGACCGGTGCGCCGGACACACCTGCGCCGACCAGACAGGTTGAAACCGTCTGCCAGACTGAAGTCAGAATGCGCACTGGTCGGTTTCCATGGTGGTGGGCCGATGGTGGTGGTCGCGCCGCTGGAGGAGAGAGCTGGAAACGAACTGGAGGTGGCGGTGGTGGTGGCGGCGGCGGCGGCGGCGGCGGCGGCGGCTACGGAGGTGGTGATGGTGGTGGTGTTCGGTAGCTCCGAGGATGGTGGGGGTTTTGACAGAACCGTCTACGCCGGCTGCGCGCCGCGTTCTCCTCCTGATGGCGATGGCACAGACCTTAAGGCGCTCTACGCGCATGCCATGGTGTTGGCCGAGAAACACCCATGGAGACGTGCGCAGGAATCGAGACCAGAAACCGTCGTCGCGTGTCGCAGAAGCCAGCGTTGAATTTGCGGCGCGTACACCGCGCGTATCACTAATCGCGCGTAATTCCTCACCGATGGCAATGACGACGGCGTGGTCCTCGCGAAATCGATCA